TAAATTTCTGTGTGGCAGATGGTGATAGATGATACAAATGATTGTTTCTATTAGAAATATTTGTGGATCTTATCACCATCATTTGAACTGACTTATTTACCCCTATCATTCTAACATCCCATAATTGTGAAAAGTATTTCTAACAAAGCAATTAGTGCAATTCTTTTCCTCATTAACATCATTTCCATCACCAAATTTCTTATCATTATCAACAAAAATCATCACCATCATCATCATTATCATCATACATGTTCACTTGACCTAGATTTCGGATGACGCTAGAAGAAACGAGGCCTTCATGTCGAAAGGTGACCTTACAGTGACCTACAAAGTGTCAAAGTGCATTGAAAGATCAAGTGCAACTTGCATCGATGCCGTAACAGTTCTCTACAGAAGAGATAATCAGGTAAGTCGGAGTGGAGTTACTCGCAAATGGTGATTGTGATGACGACGACGACGACGATGATGTTTACGTGTCGATGATAATGTGGGTGTTTGTGGCTGTTGTAGTAACGATCGCACCGACGATTGTTAAAATAAAATGATGATGAAGATGATATCAAATCAAACAATTTCCGACAGAATTTTGATTTTGAAAAGTTTTTTGTGACTTTGTTACCAAACAACGATTTATGTTGTTTTTTAAATTTTAAGATACAATACAATGCAAAAATAAAAAATATTGGTTGTCAGACCTTCAAAGTTGAGGTGGATCGACACCTCTTCATCAGGATCAACAACGAGCCACTGACGAACGCCATGTTGAGGCCATTCAAGACTTCACTCATCTTTGTGAAACAGGTTTCAACAAACTTTGTTGCCGTCAGCGGATTTGGTTTCAGAGTCATGATGCAATTGCATGGAAAGCTAGAAATCAAATTGGAGCCCTTTTACGCTGGCATGGTTTGTTCACGTTTCTGACTATAAATTCAGTCGACAAGTTTCAACAATAATCTTTATCCTTCCAGATAACAGGGCTGTGCGGAAACATGGATGGATCAATTTTGAATGAGATGACGTCACGAAACAGGATGGAGGAGTCCCTCATCTCCTTCGCCATGTCATACAGTGACTGCAGGAGTCGATATCCAGAAGCTATCGTTGTTGTTGACGACTGTCCACTCGATCAAATGGTAACCAGAGTTGTTGTTGTTGTTGTTACTACTGCTGCTGCTGTTGCTGCTGATGCTTTTGTTGTTGTTGTTGTTGTTGTTGTTGTTGGATGTTTGTCTAACATCACCAATTGCTAATTTAATTCATCTGCAGCAACAACATTCTTATAGTCACAACCCCGTAACTGTCATCATAATTGTTATCACCTTTATCACCATCATCACCTTTGTCACCATCACCATCATCGTAACAACCAGGCGTATGAGCACGCGCAGAAGATATGCTCGTACCTTGGATCCAGTGACATATTTGGGACGTGCTTACAAACGGTCAGCTGGTCAGACATCCTGGAAACATGTCTGAGAGATTCTTGCGCCAACAGTACCAGTTACGTGCCCATGTGTAGCGCTATGTCTCAACTGGCTCACGAATGCTGCTTGAGCGGACAACGTGTTAATTGGATGGGCGTTCAGTCACCTGCTAGAGAGCTATGTTCTGGTCAGGATCTGTCTGTCTCTGTCCGTCTGTGTGTGTGTGTATGTGTGTGTGTGGATGTGTAGGAATGTGTGCATGTATGTGTCTGTGTGTTTGTTTGTGTAGATATGCGTGCATGTTTGTTTCAACTTGCGACGTAATAACTCATGCTACTTGACTGCAGATTTGAGTAAAATTAGGTGCATTTTATTTTTACAACAAAGCAATGGCTCATATATCAGACACTGCTTGATAACTTGTATTACATTTTTTTAAATTGTTTTATCTGCGGGATAAACTATTTAATAGAGTTGTTTTATGGTAAATAATTTTTAAATATTATATTTTTTTACCCAACTAATAAACATTTTGACCAATCAAAAATCAGATTTCATCTCGACCAATCCCAGACTTCGTTACTCAGAGAGTCTACCAAAGTACCAATCATGTCGCGACGTGCAAAATAAGGAGTACATAAGAGAGGATGATTGCATTGCTGGAGTGCATTGTGTTCAGGACATGTTGCTTGATGATTATGGTTGGTTGGTTTTTGTCACAGTCACGTATTTTGTGCAGAAGTTAATTTTTATTCGGTAAACTGTGTTTATATTTTATCATAACAATAATTATCATAATTAATTAATTTTATCAAAACAATAATTATCATAATTAATTATTACAACAGGGCAGTGCAGACCATTGCAGGAATGCACATGTTACAACGTTGCAAACAACAGCATCCACAATCCTGGTGACGTCATCAGGAAAAGTTGTGCCACGTGGTACGTTTGGCTGCTGCTGATGTCATGGTGTCAATGTTTATGTCATACTGTTATTGGTGTCATGTCAACGTTATAATGTTGTTTAGTTTTCCTGTTAATGTCATATTGTTGTTTAGTTTTGTTGTTAATATCAAATTGTTGTTTAGTTTTGTTGTTTAACGTGTCATTGATCTAATTTTAATGTGTTAGTGCTATCATTGAACTATTACACGCTGCAATTTTTCCATAAAAAAGTTTACAGTCTAAAAAGCTGAATAAATCAAAAAAATAAATCTATACTATTCTTATCAAAAAATAAAATTGTAATAATAACGACAGTTGCAACAAATATAAACCCACTTAATAACGAATAATTAATTAGAATATAAATAATATTTTTTAATTGAAATGGAAAAAATTTCATTGAAGCACTTGCATGAACGCTGTGTGGGATTGCACAGATGCGAATTGCGCCCAGAAAGTCGAATGCCCAGGTGGTCAGGTTGGATTTTTGAGTCTGTTTTTATATAAACACACATACAAACACGCACATACACAAACAGGCATACAAACACATACACACACATCTGTAGATTTTCAGAAGAGATTTGAAGTCTTGCGGACAGACATGCGGTACGTTGAATACGTGCAAAGGTAGTGAACCGTTGACGGAGGGTTGTGCGTGTCCAGGAGACCTCGTCCTATCGTTTCAAGTACAAAATTTACAACTATTTTGTCTCCTTCTGTTGTTTTTCAATTATTTTTTGTCTAGAGTTTGATTCCGATTTTAGGTCATTGGTGTTGTCGTTTTATTCAATTGACTATTTCTATATAAAATTCGTTGTTCCTGTCAATGTATATTTTTGTTAAGCGCTTGTTTTAAAGTTTATAAGTTTATCAGAGCGTTACATGTGCACCCATTATTGAATGCAGGGTACATGTGTACCGACGAGGCAGTGCCCATGTACCTACAACTCCATGCCATACGAACCTGGGGATGTTGTTACCGTATCCTGTAAAACATTGTTGGTTCCATGTGAAAGTTGAATTTTAATTATAAGTGCTTCAGTAAATTTTTTATATTTTTCTATTATATTATGCAAAAAATTCTTGCGACTCTCAGAATTTATTTTTTTGAAAAATTTGGTTTTTTGATATTTGATAATATAACAAAAAATATTGGTTTTGTAGCCACTGATTTGAATGTTTATATTTAAAACATTTTTTACTTCAAAATTGATCTTTCAGAAAGAATTTTTTTAAATAAGCAAATGTAAATAAGTGTTACTAATATAAGCTATTGTTCGCAAGTTATTTTTTTTCATTTCCAATCATTCAAAGTAATTTATGACTAATCGATCATAAATTTAATTATTCATCACCTAACGCACGTCAGCAAATGTCGGGATCAGAAATGGGAGCTGATTGAAGAGAGGGAGTGCCAGGCTTCGTGTTCCGCTTCCGGCGATCCTCACTACAAAACGTTCGATGGCCGCCACTTCACTTATCAAGGAAGCTGCCAGTACATTCTCTCCAGAACAAAACGTTCACCGCGCACGGATATCCTCCCAAATCCCGATTCTTCAGGAAGTTTTACAAATGTGAATTTTTATGGTGATCCCGATGTGGAAGTGTCAGATGAGTTTATCGTGACGGCCAACAACTTGCCGTGTGGAGCATCAGGTGTCACGTGCACCAAGTTGGTTGACGTGTGGCTTGAAGGCAGGGATCATGTTCAGCTCCTTCAGGGCCGCCCTCCACTTTATAATAACATGTTCGTTTTCATGCTTACCTGCTTACTTGCTTCTAATTTTACATTTCCAACTATTTCCACATAATCAAAAATCAAAAAAAAAGAGCTTTATAATCAGTTAAGAATATAGGAAAACAACAATCAAATTCGACAGATCGGTGGATTCAACGAACTACGGCAGGGACGGAGTTTTCCACTTTGATGGTGGTTTCATATCAGGCAATGAAGTCTTCACCTTCGTCTCCTTCGATATCGGCCTCAATGTTCTCTGGGATGGAGGTAGTTGCATGCCTGTTTGATTAACCTCGCTGTGGTTATAACAATTTTTTTTATGTCAGTATAATAAATAGTCTTTGAAGATTTTTACAACCAACATTCGAACCAGTTCAGATGGTGCTCATGTTGTTGTTATTTTTATATTTTTTCAACCGTGACAGGTACAAGAGTTTACTTAACTCTGACATCGAGGCACCAAGGAAAAGTTGAAGGACTCTGCGGGGACTACGATGGAAACTTCCTGAACGACTTCAACGAACTTTCTGCTGGAAAGCTGGCGAGAACTGCGAAGGAATTTGCAAAGTTGTGGAAGACATCATCCGCTTGTCCCGATCCTGACCTGCCCCAGGATTTCGATCCCTGTGTTGTTAGTTGGGATGTGGTGGTGGTGATGATAGTGAAAGACCTGATGTAAGATGACATAAAAAAAAAATCACGATTTTTTTTTATTATTTACTTTTTTTAAACTTTTTACATTTAAACTTTGGGCTGTACTTTCATACACATAACTCATATACATTTGTGCGCAAAAATAACTCAAAAGTTTTTAAGATTTTTAGAAGATACACTAATCTATAAAAAATACATTAAAGAAAAAGATGATAACTTGAACAAAAAACTTCCAGTTCAATCCGAACAGAGCTGATTGGGCGAGAAAGAAGTGCTCAATCATAACAGATGGACCCCTCTTTGAAGTTTGTCGTCTGCACATCACTAACTACATGGATTATTATAAGAACTGTCTCTACGATGCTTGTGGGTTAGTTAGGCAGAGTTGAGGTTAATTTTTTAAATTTATTTAAACTTGTTTAAATTCCAATTTTTCGATAAATATTACGAGTACTAGTTTTTCTTCTAGTGCCAGCAGTAATATTATTTAGCAGTAACAACGGTGGAAATAGTAAACATTTCCTCCGTGAAAGGTTGAAAAAATAATTCAACCATCATCTCATAGTCATCGTTATACTCGCATTGCACTATCATCACCGACCATAATCATCATCTTGTAGTCATCATCTTCAACCACACAGTTGTGACAGTGGAGGCGATTGTGAGTGCCTGTGTACTTCAGTGGCCACCTTCGCCAAGGAATGCAGCGACAGAGGCTTCTACATCAAGTGGCGATCGCAACACTTCTGCCGTCAGTTTTTTAATATTTTTAGTAAAATAAATTTTTTAGAAATTTCTTTTAGAAATTTCTTTATCCTACTTTTGTCTTTAGATGTTCGAAAATTTTTGTTTTATTTTATCTGCAATAAATTTTTGAAATGGATTGATCAAGAATGAAAACAACTTCAACGTTAATTTTAAGAATATTAAAGATCTAAATTTAAAAAATTTTTCATTTAAATGACGTTCGAAACTAATTTAACTTGTTTGAAAACAAAAACAAATGTAAATTTTTTCAAACGCTTGTGGAATTAATTCAAAGTAACTGTTGTTGATGCAATGTCGCGAATTGAACGTAGCCATGATGTGCGAGAAGAACAAGGTATACAGCCAATGTGCATCGCCTTGCAAGAACACGTGCCCATCATTATCATCACCACCGTCGTCGTCGTCATCATTGACGTCACCCATGATGATGCGTGCTGGTACGATATGCAAGGAAACAAGCTGTGTAGAAGGGTGCGTCTGCCCCGATGGAGAGGTTGAAGATGGTTGGTGGAGAACTTTTTCAGTTTTATTGTCTCACCACTTTTACTAATAACCAGCTAAAAACTGACCAATCAGCGCCCAACAAATCAACAACCTACCAATCAACTATTCAACAACCAATCAGCAGCCAACCATTCAACAACCAATCAACAGCCAACCAACCATTCAACAACCAATCAACAGCCAACCAACCATTCAACAACCAATCAACAGCCATCCAAATAATCTTTCTTTACAGAAACTGGCAGTTGCATCAACCTATCAGAATGTGCGTGCAGGTTTGAGGATGGCAAAAATGTTACAGCCGGTTCTGTCGTCACACTCAACTGCCAAAATTGGTTGGTTGGAGTGTCTGGTGGATTGATGATTAACACTATTTAATCACATAATTAGATGGATAATTAGCTAAAAACCAATTAACTAATAGATTCTAAAATTCACCAAAATCAGAATTAATTCAATGAGTAGCATAATAAATAGGTAAACAAACGCATACGAATAATAAAATATCACTTTTAGTAATCGGGCTATTAAATATTGCTATTTTTATAAAATACAAAACCGCAGCAACACATGCACACACACGCAATATTCACGCAACTGAAACAGCACTTGCACAGGCGGTCTTTTGACTTGCACTGGCAAGTCTTGCAAACCTGAAACACCGAGTTTGAGATGCTCGAAAGATGATTTCATGTGCATGGATGAAGAAAAGTGTGTAGACAGGAGGTACATGTGTGACGGATTCGCTGATTGTCTGGATGAATCTGATGAGGAAGATTGTGGTGAGTTAGTTGACGGCTGAAAGGTTTTCTGAATGAGTTTTTGGCTGGTGAGTTTTTTGCTTGATCCGTCTGTTTTTTCCTTTTAATATATTTTCTCTGCTGGTTAACGCTCAGTTTTTGTTTGTTTTGTTGTTTAGGGGTTAGTTTGCTGTTTTTAATGTAATATTTATAGAAATAAATAGTATATTTAGATAGTAGAGTAGATTGAAAGTTATTTTATACGATGAAAGTGTCATTTTTTGTGTAGATGTCACCATCACAATCGTCCAAATAACATGGCGCTCTTATAAATAACATGGTGGTCCTCTAAATGACGTGGCGATCATATAAATGAAAACGAAATTTTCCCTGTAGATGGCATGTGTGATGTTGACGAATTCAGCTGTCATTCATCTGGAGAGTGCATTCCACGGTATCTCGTCTGCAATGCCATCAACGATTGCACGGACGCCAGTGATGAGCTGCTGGAAGAGTGTGGTGAGGTTTTTATGTCATTTTTAAATTTTGCGTCTGCCATTTAAAAAATGAAAAAATGCTAACATTAATTTTATACTACTATCCACAACTTCTACATCCACAACTACTACATCCAGAATGTGACGACGACAGCTACTTCCAGTGCGACAACAAAATGTGCATCGTGCGACAGTTCGTGTGCGACCAACAGCCAGATTGCGGCGTCGGTGATGATTCTGATGAGAGGAATTGCTCCTGTCAGTTGCGTTGTTGATGTTTTTGTTGGTGTTGTTGATGTTTTTGTTGGTGTTGTTGATGTTTTTATTGGTGTTGTTGATGTTTTTGTTGGTGTTGTTGATGTTTTTATTGGTGTTGTTGATGTTTTTATTGGTGTTGTTGATGTTTTTATTGGTGTTGTTGATGTTTTTATTGGTGTTGTTGATGTTTTTGTTGGTGTTGTTGATGTTTTTATTGGTGTTGTTGATGTTTTTGTTGGTGTTGTTGATGTTTTTATTGGTGTTGTTGATGTTTTTGTTGATGTTGACGGGGGTATGTTAATACAAACGTTTCTTCAGATTGCGGGTTGGACAGCTTTCGTTGTTTTTCCGGTTCCTGCATCTCCATGTCGGAAAGATGCGACGGTTTTAACGACTGTGGAGATAACAGTGATGAACTTAATTGCGGTAGGTCGGTCAGCCAGTTGGTCAGTTAGTCATGAAGATTGGTTCAATGTTTTATTTGTGGGACTAGTTAAATGAGTGATTGTTTTGGGCTAAAGTTAGAATGAACTTGTCGATTAATTATTTACAGTTAAATGAAAAATGGTTTTTTTAAGTTATATTGTTTATTAAAAATGCGATAGTTAATAATTTTTTAGTATAGCAATTAATCTTGTATGTTAGTTATTTGTTATTATTTAGTGGCGAAAAAAATTAATAGACAGTTTTTTCAAATTTAATCAATTGGTTAAGTTATTGTTATACGTTATTACATTAATTAATAACCAATTACAAATTAATTAACTAATCGCCAATTAATAATTAAACGACAGTATGTGAAGATAGGAACGTTTTGACATTGGATCGGGACAGTGAGGACTACTTGGACGTCATTCCTCCATTTGTTAGGGGAGCCTTCCTCCCCGAACCCACTCTGGATGTGGTCCTCAGAGACGGTCAACCCATCGTCCTAAATTTTTTGGTGCGGTTCAGTAGAAAATTTTCATGTATATCGATTAAATAGGTATCTATTTATATACTTCCAGACATAAATTCATCATAGCGTAATCAGCTGAGTTGTAAATCTTAAAATGTAAAAAAATATATTTTTAAAATCTAGAAACATTTTGTTAAACATATTATTTCCAATTAAATTCCACACCAAAGACACTTATTTTTATAACGCATTACAAATGAAGAATAGTAAAAATAATTTCTTTACGAATAAAATCACAAAAATTTTTTGCCAATCTCATCACAAAGGATGATATCGAAGTCCGTTTCATCGAGGTATCTTTCTGGAGTAGCAATGTAGGACAAGTCTTCTTGCATCTACTTAATGAGGACCTACTCAACTCATCATCGTCATCTCTTCCTGCTCCTATTGAGGTAGTTTAATTGAATTTAAAACAGCAGAATGGATTAATTTTGTGTAATTAAATTTTAAAATTAAACATGTAATTTTTGTGTTAAAATCAAATGAAATTAAAACCCAAAACACTTTCGAAACTTTTATAAAAATCACAACCAACGTGCAAAAAAATAATACACGACACAGGAATATACATGGGTATCGAAAGGATACCAAAATACCATGCAACAAGTGAAATTCATCATCAATGAAATCGTCTGGGCCAATGTTGCACGGTTGACAATTAAGGCTTACAATGCTAACGAAGATGTCGGTTTGAGAAGTATGACTCTGAAGATGTGTCGCACGGGTCGGTTGGTTTTGTTAGAGTTCTTATTTTTGTTTCGGCTTCGTGTATAATTGGCTGCTGCTGATATTTTTGTTTGTATTCTTTTTTGCTTTTATTTATGTTGATATGTCAATTGTTAGCTGTCCGGTCTTTTTTTATACCGAAGAAGGAAGCTACTTGATTGACTTGCAGTAAGATTTTGTTAATTGAAAAAAAAAATATCATGATTAATTTTCAAACCGGATAGTTGCAACTGCCAATTCTGAAATTTCAACTCGTTTGATTGCAAAATTTTATAAAGTTATAGCTTATCTATGAAGAAATGAAATTTTGAAAAATTTCCAGACGTCAGCCAAGCACGAACAAAAACATTTCCTTTTTCCACTACTCCTACTCTTCCGACTACTCGATCAGAGCAAGCATCAACACCCAGAAAACCACCAGCCACTACCAGACCTTCCATGCCCGCAACAACAACAACACACTGCAACAACATCAACGAAACTCCATACACCTACAGTTTCACTGATTCAGACGAGTTCATCATAACAAGTAACTCAAAAGGCAACGCCAAGTCATGTTTAAGCGGTTCGAGGTCGAGTTTGAAAGTGGAAAGTTTAAAAAAGGTGTTCATATCAAGGAAGATTCCATCTGATTGGTTCGTTGTTATGAGGTTGACCTTCAACGCACGTGCTGTTAAGATGGTCAAGCTGACCTTACGTGACCTCGAAGATAGGAAGGTTGTCGTGCTTCCTGATGAGGTGGGTGTTGATTGGTGCTGGCCTGTCTGGAGCATTTTTTCGGCTTATACAACGATTGATTTGTTTGTTTGTCTTTTCAAAATATTTGCAAAAGCTGATAATTACTTATTTGCGACATTTTTTATTTCGCTTACATATTTTGTTTTTATTACGTTTTTGGAAAATTTTAACTAAAAACAAAACATTGTTCATTATTCAGTTTTCAGCATCTTCACAATCCACGCCGGCATCAACGACGCCATCATCAAAAACAAAAACAACAGCAGCAGCAACAGCAGCAACAACAACACGCAACTGGAAGAGAATCACTTTTTCCAATCCTTCCATGCACATGAAGACGTATGTAGTCGAGTTGCTTTTCATTGGTGAAGATATGGAAATCAAAGATTTGTTTCTGGAAGCCTGTCTTACTCTTGGTCAGTTGTTCGTTTATTTTAAGTGTTTTACGTGATGTTTGTTTGTTTAAGAATGATGTTACAAGTATTACAAATTAATAAAATTTGACAACCGCTACAAAACGCAGCAACTAAAACTTCAACAACGACACTAACCGCAACAGCACCACCGACAGCCAAAACAACTACACCTCAAAATATTCCGACAACAATTTTGAAAGCAACGCAGAAAATTTCAACACTACAGAAAGTAACAACATCAATAACACCGATGACCTTGTTGCCCACAGTTGAAACAACGGCATCAACAAGAACGGGCACATTCACGATGCCAAAAATAACCAAAACAATATCTGCGGAAACTTCAACATTATCATCGTCGACAACTGTGTCAACTCTTTCAACAACTAAAAAGGACATAGCAAAAACTGCAGCAACAACAATTTTATTAACTACAAACACAAAAACAACGACATTGACGCCAGAAAATTTAACGTTAACGTCGTCAACAATGAAACTAGCAACTGCCTCAGCGACGAAACCTGCAACGCAACCAGCAACACATCCAGTGACGCAACCAGCAACCAACAAAATACCTGCTCCTATCATAGAAGCAACCTCTAGCGATGAACTGATTTATTTCGATTACACCACAATACTCGGTTCTTAATTTTTTCTTTTTGATAACAATATTATTTATTACACATTATAATTTTATAATTATTTGTGATAGTTTATATTTATTTATAAGTTTATCACTATTAAAGTTTTCTAACATCAATATTGTTTCATTAATTCTATATGTCAAGAGCTGTTCTTGAATTGAATAAGAAAGTCTAGGGTAATAGAGTTTGTTACACATTGCAGAGCAAAAATATTTTTTGAACCGTTTAAAATAGTATTTTTATCGATCAATTTTAATAGAAAAAGTTGAAACTTGTGTGCGTGTTAATGTAAAGAATGTTGTGATTGAATTAAAAATAAGTAGCATTTTTTGTTTTGGTTAGATCTGTTTATATAAATTAGATAATGTTGCTATTGTCGGTAAGAACATCACAATATCGTCATTCAAAACATCTTCAACAGAACCAGAGGCCACAGAAACTCCAGAAATTGTGTTTGGCTTCCAATGTCCAGATAAATCAGAAAAGACGTACAGACTGAACTATAAGAAGAAAGATGAATTTGAAATGTGGAACGAACTGGAGCAAGATGTTGACGATGCTCTCCTGGGCTCCAATGCAGTTCATCACTCGACAGACAGCAAGTACATGATCGTCGGAAGGAGCAGAACTGATGGATGGTTCCTCCCTATGTACCTCTCCTTTGAAATCAGATTTCTCAAGTCCGTCAGCGTTCTCCTCTTTGACCAAAGGAAAAATGTCATTCAGAAAATTACGGTTGGATCTACATTTGTGTTGAAAAAATAATTTGACAAATAAATTTTTTGTTGGTTCAATATTAAACATTTGGCTTTGTTCTTACAGTTGACAGCACCTCAGTCAGATGGATGGTCAAATATTGTTGTCGATAATTTTGAAGATCAGAAAGTTTCTGAGTTATGGTTGAAATTTGAGATGATGGATTATATGAACACGTATGAGGTGAGGAACTTGTATCTGGATGTCTGCATTCCGAAGGGTAAGATGAATTTATTCACGTTCGTTTGCACATGAGCATTCAAATTTATGTTTGAATTTTTATAAAACTATCTCGGTTAACAATTCTAATTTTTTTATGAAGGTAAAATTATAACTGAGAGGACAAAAACAAGTAGCAAGATGACGCAGAAATCTTCAACATTATCAATAGCCACGGCGACTACTCCAACAGCAGATATTTCTACAAAGCCGGCCACGAACACTAGAACAAATAAAGCAACACCACCAACAACAACAGCAGTAACTACAGAAAAAACTACAACAACCAAAACAGCAACTACTACACCAGCAACAATATTAGCAGCAGCAACAACGAAAAAGAAACCAGCTCCTATTATTGAAGCAACAACTTCGAATGAATACCAGTACGAAGGGGAATATCCTGAATATACCTCATTATCTGGTATTTTGCTAATTTTCAAAATTTATTAAAAATATTTATTACACTATTTATTAGATAAAGTTTAGTTTTAAACGTAACTCTGAACAATATTGTTATCAATTTTTATTAATATTATCACCATTATTGTTTATGTCATTTTTATTATCAGCGCCTAAGTCATTTTCGTAATTATTTAAAACAGAGCCAGAAGCCACAGAAACTTCAGAAATTGTGTTTGGCTTTCAATGTCCAGATAAATCAGAGAAGGCGTATAGACTGAACTATAAGAAGAAAGATGAATTTAAAGTGTGGAACGAACTGGAGCAAGATGTTGACGATGCTCTTCAGGGCTCCAATGCAGTTCATCACTCGACAGACAGCAAGTACATGATCGTCAGAATGAGCAGACCTGAAGGATGGTTCCTCCCTATGTACCTCTCCTTTCAAATCAGATTCCTCAAGTCTGCCAGCGTTCTCCTCTTTGACCAAAGGAAAAATGTCATTCAGAAAATTACGGTTTGTAATTAACTCATTTATGTTTATAATTTTTTTATGAGTATGCAATTCAATTAATTGCTAGTTAACAGTGCCTCAG